GTAAAAACCAGGAGAGATTCAAAGGTAAAAACCAGGAGAGATTCAAAAGCAAAAACCAGGAGAGATTCAAAAGTAAAAACCAGGAGAGATTCAAAGTAAAAACAGAAGAGATTCAAAGTAAAAACAGGAGAGATTGAAAAACAGGAGATTCAAAGGAAAACAGGAGAGACTCAAGGTAAAATAAGAGCTTCAAAATAAAAAAAAGGAGATATTTGAAGTGAAACCAGCAGAGGTTGGTACCTGTCTGCAGTCTCCAGAAGTTTCTGCACGATGAGCTCGAAGGAGGAGGACAAGCAGTAGGTTGCTGGTTCTTCCTGATCATCAGCCACATCTGCAGCTTCATAGGCAGCTTCAGCAAGGCTGGAGAAGGCCTGGAACACACCAAAAACCACGGGTTTTATGTCCCCTGAGCTCACCCTGGCTGCTCCAGGAACACACATTCCATCAGTGCTCATTGTAAGGACCGAAAAATGAAAATACAACCCCCAAAAAAACCCCCCAGGATTAACAACTGTGCTGAGCCAGGTGGGTTAGAGGAGTTTGAAAAGCTTCCTGATTTTCATTTTCATTTCCAAAAACACATCATAATCATCCCCCTGAGCAGACAGAAAAAGCCACAGCTCCGTGGACCTTTGCCAGGAGCAGGGGAAGCCTTTAAACCTCTGGGAGAGTGAAAGAACAGCTCCTGTCATTTCTGAACCTTGTTTTGACATGCAAATCCTCCTCTCCACCCAGTTCTACTCCAGCAGGGATGTGGAGCAGCAGAGATGCCTCTGGGAGTGGATCCTGCTCCCCAATTAGCTCTGGAATCACCACAAATCCAGCTGTAGGTGATGGGGAATGAGGTTTTGCACCTTTCCCTTAAGCTGCCTCCCAAAAAAAACCCCCTAAATCCCTTTTCCAAACAGCCATTGCACCTCACCAGGGAGTTTCCACTGAAAGCAACTTTTAAACTCAGGGAATATTATAATTTTTCTCCTTAAAAATCCATTTGTTCCTTAATTTTTTCCCCACAGCCACAAAAGACTTGAGATCATCTGAGTGTCAACCACAGTGTGGGGTTGGCTGAGCAAGCCATGAATCAGTTTGAAAACCTTTTAAGTGTGTGTAAAAATATGGGAAAAATAATATGGGAAAAATAATATAGGAAAATATAGAGAAATATGAAAAGAAATGGAGGGGAAGAAATAACTGGGGGGGAGAAAAATGGGAAGAAAAATGGGGGGTAGAAAGAAATGGGGGAGAAAGAAATAAATGGGGGAGAAAGAAATGGGGGGAAAGAAAGAAATGGGGGGAAAGAAAGAAATG